CGTTGTTACGACTGAATCGACTTTTCAATTCTCTATCCAACGATGCCAAAACGAATTCTGTGGCTCGAATGGTTCTTGAGAAACTTCGAATAAAGCCCATTAAGTTATCTATGGAATAATGTAAAAACGAGCGTTCTTGCTCATTTTGCTTCCGAGAAACATGCAAAACGGGACGGAACACATGAAATTTTGCAATAATCTTGCGCCACCCTTGCACAAAACGACGATCATTTTTCTAATTTCATAGATAACAGAAGACTGTATTTTTTCTGCATAACCCCCCCCTGACTTTAAAGATGGATCCGCCCCTGGCAATCAATCCGTTCTGTTCCCTAAAGCAAAGACATCAACAGTCAAATAGAATGCTAACACACGCTCAGTTGAATTCGCGGAAAATCTTTCTGAGCAATTTGCACAATTTACAACGCGAAAAAACTACATTTATTTTGAAATGTTTTTAATTTTTTAAATTTGCTTTAATAATTTTTAAATGGTCTAAAAGAATTGCTTCCTGACCTTTCGCAAGCACGAGGGGCATTTACTTGAAACTGAAAAATTCACTCGCTTTAGAGCACCAAAATCACTGCAGAAAAATAAGCGTAACTCTGATTGCCGTTGCTGGTCCGGAAAATCTCACCAGTTTCAACCAATAAACGCGAAAGTACACATTAAATTCAAAAGTCGCAGTCTGGGTCTGGATTGACCGTTTTAACCAGTTACAATCACACTTATTTGTTAGCAGTTCTTATCGATTCCAATACAGTTCCTCGCATACAAATATTGGATTCCATGCTCGCATTGAATAATACAGTTTTTTGCTACAAAAAATATAAAATGCATCGATGGACCCCCCGTTTGCAAACAACCATTAGGTACATGGGTTCACGGGTACTGGAATAAGAACAAACATAGTCAGAGGTCAAAAGAATTGGCTTTGGTCATTTTATTGGATCTTTAATATGTCTGAGGTTGCCATATTTAAATAAACTGAAAAAGAAAGTTGAAGATTTTCTGCGTACCTACAGGTACAACTGGGATGATCCACTGGTTCCTGCATAGGGTGTTTTTGGGAAGTCGGGGGAAATTCGCCTGGTTCCAGATGATGCTTGATAGGGGAGGCTGGAGGTAGATGGTGGTACCACTTGGTTCCTCTGACTTTTTGGTGATCTAGATAATGTGAATTTAATAATTCGGCAACGTTGCATGGGCGGCCACGGCTGTACCAGCAGTTCTTTCGATCTCGTACTAGTTCAGGGCGCTCCGTGGATCTATATTGGCGGCCGAGGGAGATGAGGGGCCCGGGCCGGCCGGGTCAACGCGTGACCTCAAGCCCTGAGGTACGCCGGCTACTTTCCCACGAAGAGACGCCCGCAATATCTACCGCTCTTCATCAGGAACACAGCCTGTCATTAAATATGGCAATATGTGTACGCTGGCCCAGATCGCTTACAGATTAGGAAACCCTAAATCACCGTCACCCTCCTGTCAAAAATAGGGTATCCTCCTCCTCCATCGTCCGGTTGCTCCCAAATAACTCCTCAATTATCTCTCTCCACACTAAACTCTGCTCGCAAATAGATCCCATTGCTCTGATAAATTGCTTCCAATTAACGTCAACTAGTAATTCTACGAAATGATCAAGTCTTCTGATCACTCAGATCGCAAATTGGTAAAATTATTCTCTGAATCTTGGTGTCTATACAGGGTGTGAGGAAAAGCGTTATCAAACTCATCAAACTCATTTTTCTATAACGCGATATTTGGCGTTATCGAATTTTTCATACATGTCTTTCTGCCAGTATTTTAGCATGTAGAGTCACCCTGAAAAGTTTCCTAACGCATTTTCCGAACACCCTGTACCTATAATGCATATAGAGGTAATGGATTTTTAAATAATACATATCAATATCTGATGTGATGTTGCTCTGCGGTGCTTCCAGCTGGTCACATTAAAAATCAGTTAAGAAGAGGACCACATTAAGGCCTCGCTTGAATGTTAATGTGTGAACAAGGGTTTATCAAAAAAAGATCAATCCGAAAACAAGCTGCGGACCGCTACATATTTGCCTAAATTCTACGTTTCAATCAGCTTTTAACGTGCCATCGTGTAATTAGAATAATTAGGCTGGTTCAAAGAGCGCAGCGCATACATGATTTCTTATGCGTTTTTATGGTACAACCATCGTCATCATCAGCGTCCATACAGAAGATCATCGCATCGTGGGAATCTCCAGGTTATAGTTTCTTAAATGAAACAATTACCAATGTGCGTGTCTGTAACACATTATTGAACGGACTCGCATATTTGTTTTTATTTTTCTATAAGTATGTACTTTTCATAAATTTATATTTTGGTTGAATTGCCGATTTTTTCACACGATCATCCCTGGGAAAACATTGCTGTAGAAAAATGATCGGAAGGAACTCGAATCTACCACAATCTAATTTCAATTTTAGTTTATTTACCAGCAAGACATTAAAACGTGCCACGTTAGTGTCTTAACTTGTAACGCTTGTATGAATTAATACAAATGTAAAACTCGATTAAAACAAATAGACATTCTATTTTGCTGGGGAACAACATCGGATTGACTTTTACTGAGCGTTTGGCAGCTGAATTAAAAATAAAAACTAGTCACGCATATATACCTACCTGTCAGAAAAGAAGATGTATATGTATATGAGAGCAAAAGCTTTCTTTAACTGTATCAAGATTCAACGTATAATTGAATTCCTGTCCATGTTTCGTCGGAGAATATTAGCTGAAGCTGAGCAAAATTGTTGAAATTGAAAAATGGCGTAATCAATTGCCGAAAAAAGCTATTAATAACGACAATTGTGTACGCATTCCAAAAGATGAAGAAGCGATGTCTTGGGATCACAAAAACAAAAGCTTGTCGAAATTTAAACACAAAGGAATGTTTTGTTGACAGTCGATTAAACTGATTTTCTGTTGTGAATGTCTGATTTATGTCGCTACATTATGATTACGTATACTAATTCCTATAGAAAAACAATGGGACGGTAAGCATCGACTAAACATAACCGAACAAGATTTTTTTACAATAGTGAAAAGAGACCAGTGTGTTCATTAACGGTAAGAAGGATATATTTCTTCACTGCTAGGAGAGCTTATTAAAAAAATATCTGGGTAATCAATTTTGATTTGGTTAATGCCGTGTTTGTTTGTTAATGACACGGCGGCCAAGTTTGAATTCTTTCGGATGATTTATTGGAAATCTCCGAGAGTGAAACAATTACACAACTTGAATAAAGCATCCTTCTTTTGGCAATGTGCGACTTTACATTATTTATCAAATGAATACTTTTCGACCAGATACAATCTCGACACTTTGGTTTCGAAATGAAAAAGTCATCGGTCTCAGACAACAGAATACATGGGATGTATTAGATAACATCGACTTAAATCAAACTTTAACCTGTTAAAATTGACACCTATTTAAACATTTTCGCTTAAGAAAAGAAAGATAGGGATTAAGCAAACTATTGTAATGTTGATGAGATAAAAATCAAACAGAGAAATGATCTCCTGCGTTGAAACTTTTTATTTAAATCTATTCTTAAATCTATTGCTGGATTTTTAACACATAACCAGTTACGAAACAAATATTAGGAGTATAATTTCAACTGAACAATAAATTGTATACCAGCTATCCGAAAGGTCACTACTCTTCCAGCAACATGTTCAAATAAACATCTTGATAATTATACTGCATGGGGATTTTTTCCGACATTCCGTATCAAGCATGGTTTTTTGCGGACAATCTAATAAAAAATATTTGATTCTCTATCGAAACCCGTCGACCTTTAAATTTCATTACATTTTATTACAAATAAACACTTGAAACGACTTTACTGTATCGTATATTTCATCAGCCTGTACCTACAGTATTTAATACATTCATCTAATTTATCGAATAGATGAATCTGTGGATGCGCAATAAAAATTCTCCGCAGATTCGCTTGTTCCTTATTTTTGCACAATGCATTTATTAATGTGTACCGTAATTACCGGGTACTATAAAATTCAATCAGGTACTATTTTTAGTAATCCCATCACTAGAATGCAATTGTGGAAAATCGACCATTATTGATATTGAAAAAATTTAAGAAACATCAATTGCGCGTTATTTTAACATTAACTAAATTATGATCCTCAATAATTAACAACTATTGCATTTAATATTACTGTATTAACATCCTAACATGTTTTCAAAACTAAAGAGTAGGTATTTAATGTCGAATCTGCATCCAATAACACTTGGCCTTAGGGTGGTCAAGGAAAATAAAACGTCGACACTCGCGCGAGCATCTCGTACCCTAATAAATAACAACGTGAACCAATAAAGCACAAAATAAACAATATAAAATTCCAAAAACTGATTAGAAATCTTAATTTAACATTATCTATGGAAAAGCTCGTTTAAAATATAGCTCAGAATCTTTTAGCAGCCTCTCAGAGGCGTAGCAAATCTTCAAAAATTAATTGCGAAAACTCTGTCTTAATCGCGATTGAGGTTTTTTTGGATCCTTTCAACTTCTACATATAGGAGCAAGAAGAAAGTCCGCCTTCGCGCTGAGTGATGCTTGAAAATATTTTAAGCAACGATTTTGAAGCTGCCTTTCTCAACAGCATCGTTGCACTTTTAAACCGTTCAAATCGCTTTTTCTCCATCAGGACAACCAGCTTTAGAAGCAAGAAAAAAGCTTCACTGCGCCCATGGTGCGATACTTTTCTTTGCTTGAGCTTTGTGGTAACGTAATGCTCTCAGCGTGTAATATATTCTTTAATGATCATCTATCTGGCGAAACAATCTTGCTCCGAAGTAACCGAGGTTCCTTAGAATATTTTTTACCAGACTCTAAAGTTTTTGATGGTGCTGAAAGTCATGCCAACTTACAATGTCTGAAGATCTATTTGTTTTGAAAACAGTTGTAATTGGTTGATTCTCCTTGTTACAGGCGTTGAGTGGCTTTCTAATGATGATGACGCAAAACGGAAAACTGTTGTACATATCCGATAATGCTGCAGAGTACCTGGGTCATTCCATGGTGAGTGTTCTAAAGGTGAGCTAGCTTTTTCAGCTTTCATAGCTAAAGAGTGAGCTTTCATAATGTAGCCCTCTAAGTTTAGTCCGATACAACGCCGTATTGAGCTATCTTTTCGGTATAGACCAAAGCGGATTACATGTCATCAAAGTGAATGACTTCGCATTTCAAATTGATTCAAATGTGGGGGTACACAAGTTGGCTTTGTGAGCAGCACTCGTTAAATGCTAACAATATGACACCGCCGAAGAATAGCGTATGTTGAGCAGGAGTTATTATATGTTTATGAGCAATAATTTCTGCCTACCAGCATCTGATACAATTTCGTTTTTACACTTCTCGTTGCGCATTACGCTAATTTTAAACTCCCATAAAATGCAAATATAACCGCTCAGTTTAATACGATTCAATAAAGCAAATCAAGAAAAAGCGTGGAAATCTTCCTAGGTGGCCTTTAAAATGTTTACTTTTTATGTACAGTGGCCGCCACTACCACCATTAAACAGGGCACGCATAAAATATGTATGCATTTTAATTAAGTTTCAAAAGCTATGATTTTCAATCTTTTTTACTTTTTAAACGGAAAACAATAATCGAGTAGAAATGTACTGATAAGCAAGTGTTATACAATTTTACTAGAGGTGTGCGAATACAATTCCGCGTCGCTGGACCCATAGAATCGATTCGGGTTTTCACATTTGGCAAAAATCGCCACTTTTTCGAATTTAAGTGCCTCAAAAACGGACTCTTGCAAATACAGAGTTAGGACTCGCAAACAATGTTGAATTTTAGTCAAAAAAACGTTTTTCACATTTCTTTACATTACAGGAGGATTTGCTCATCCATGGCGATAGTGTTTACGATATAATTGATAAACAAGACCATCAAGCCATTCAATGTGAACTGGGCAGGCCAGTAGTTAATACAGGAACCAATAATAACGCACAGGAAGAAAATAGATTATTTTTATGTCGAATGAACGTCTCAAGAAACGCTCGGCGCCAAATGAGATTCGGCGACCAAAAAGTAAGTCGAGATTTGTTTTTAATTATATGCAAACTTGGGCAAACTTATATGAATACTCTATTGTATTGGGATGGCTGGTCGATTTCCACGCTTCAGTTGGGTGATTTTAGAGCAACTCAAACACCGATAAATATTTTTGTTTAATTCATAACTTGCGACCTAAGAAGATAGTAGCCGCTCAAAACCTCGGCGTTTATTTCGGATCAGAAAGGTCTAGTGTGCTTACTCATGGCACCGAATATGAGGCATACAGAAGGATTAGAGTTTCTCGCTCACAGAGAAAATCCCAGTCAGAGCTAAAAAATGGCGTTGCGAGTTCAATTGTTAATAACATTCCGCGATCAAGATTTTATCAAGTTTTAGACTGTAAATGCGCAATAAGAATTACTCAATCACCTGGAGGCATATTACGTAAGATTTGGCCCCCGTAAAAGTGAGAAATTAGGAAATTGCTACGCCAGTCCTACCCTTGCTAGTACTGTAGAGTCGTCACACCCATTCAATAGCGGCTGGTAATTCAATTAAATTTGGAACATTAAGTTGAAGTTTATTATTAAAAAAATCTTTAGCGTATACCCGAGGAGGTAAGTGATAAGACAAAATTTATATTCGACCAAACAATGGGATAGAGTCAGTTTTGGAATGTTTGGGATTATCATGTCCGCGACCATAGGCGGAGTTGATGGTACTAGATAAACATTTGCCCCCTGTAGTTAACGAAATAAAACAAAACCCCGCACAATGCTTTTACATATTGTAACGTTTGAGAAAATGTTTCGTTCTCAAAAATTCCTCCGGCGCTATCTGTAGGTAAGTACCAACCATGTAGCAAACAGGAATTCGAATAAACCAAGCAAGTTAGAGCATCTATAATAGATGGCCGTTCTAACTGCGGTGCAGTCAGATTTGCAACAATCAATTATTAAAGCTCCGACTATCAATATACTGCGTAGAAAGTTGTTAAAATTTATGTTGCACTTAGATTAAAGCAGAAAAGGTAAACCTATCATCGAAACAAAGCACATTTAGGGGTAAAAAAATAGATAATTGATGAGTTAAGTGGTACGCCCATGGCTATGAGTATATTCGCGTCCGCGAGTCGATCCGGATCTACCTTTCACTATGCAGTAACCTCAGCGGGTGTGCAGGTCGCTTAGTAGGTACCCCTCACCCCGCAAGTACCATGACTCCACCACTTCCACAATCGAGCGAGAGTAGCAGAAAGAACAGTACCGATTCCACCCACACCAAGGACCGCGGTACCATGCTGTAGTATACAGTGAGCCAAAATAAATCGATTATTGCCGAGCGTACCGTTAGGCGTTCCCAGAATATAGCCGATGAGATGTTCAAATGTATCATTCAATCTCAGCGATTAATCATTAATTTTCTTGTGCATCCGTCCAAAATACTTTAATGAAAATTAATCGCCCTTGTTCTTCAAACTCATCTCATGAATTTCCATTCACCCAATTAATGTGAATTGAAGTTCCATTGGCAATGGAACCGCACTCCCATCCTGGTACTCTTCTGTGTGCGTTAAAGGCATTAAGGCAAATGTATGCTAATTATAAACATTGGGGTAGGTTCACTTTCATGTAGTACCATCCCACACCTCCAGCAGCTCACTTCGCGGTAACAGCGATTATCAATGTATTTTTTAAGGCAGTACTGTATTCAGACTCTTTATCACCTCATAAGTAGCTGCTGGCTTTCAAATAAAGATCAATACGGAAGAAACGAGTGAAGCTTTTATATGTTAAAGACCATGCGTAATTTACTAAACGAGTAGTAGAGCTACTGCTGCGTGTGTAATACTTGGAACTACAAATTGGATTATCGAAAGAGCATTTTGTGAGTGACTTTCGTATCGAAAGCCTGGCAACTTAAAGTCGTGAGTTTTTCGGGTATTTAAGCCGTCGTGGATGAGAATTCAGAAAAAACCCAACAGTTTCATTCGGATTGCTGTTGAAGTCATCATAGTGTTTAATTATGTGAACGGGAACCAGAAACACGTTTAGATAAGGCTTCCAAGAGCCGATATTCCGAAAACTGCTGGTCTGAGGAGTTTCGATCGAGTACCTATCTATATATTTTAGCAAAAATTCGAAACGGCCATACAGAAGATTGTAAACAAGTTAACACCAACTGAATGCAAAGACACCCCTATCAGAAGCTTCCAAAGGGTACGGCTATGTACAGGGTGTCAGCAATTTCAGGTGGTGGTTCAAAATTTCACGAAACTGACGATGTATTTATTGCTCTGAAATAGGTCGAGATAGGGAAATGTGTGTGTGTGTGTGTGTGTATTAATTTKTTGAATAGTTGAATACGGCCACAGTAAAGGTGTATTTCATATTTAATTTCAGGTGGTATTAGTACAAGGGCGTTATCTCTCTTTTTTGCCTCTATGCAGTAGAAACGAGCCGGTATTTTTGGCAACTTGCACACCAGTTGCAATGCCAGAAACGCGTGAATGCGTCGTACAAGGAGCGACCAATGTCTTCACCTCCATCCATTCGATGGATATGAGATTCATTCATATAGACAACAAGTAAGTACCTACAATTCGTTTAATGACCAGCATCTAATAAATAATGCGAATTGGAAAAGAAGCCAAGTTGTAAACGATGTTGATTGCAAAATTTTAACATGCAGAAACGGTGATAGATGCAATAGCAATGCGTCATCGAAGTCCAATGATTTAGTGAGCATTGGGGCAGATGTCACCAGGTATCCCGCGACCTGGTGACCCTTATGGACCGGCCGGGCTCACGACGACATTGATTTATCGTGCAAGAAAACAAAGCCGTGCCCTCATGGTCCGTTGTGGACGCATATAGCACATACCGCCTCGAAGTGTCCCATTATAGACCACTTTTTAAGCTGATTACTCAATAGTCTAAGACCACACAATATTTATACGGTTACAGAAATAAATCATTCTGTTGCAGTGGAGAATTCTACTTAGGGTTCCCGCGGACTGAATTGCAAGGAGTTTCGTGGTACCGGCTCCTGCACTGGGACAGTACTCGTGAGGCTCAAACCAAACATCGACTAAGTAAGTGATTTTTGGGTATTTCGCCTCAAAAATTTTTATAAATTTATAAAAATAAATGGACCAATAATTTTTGCCCACCATGCCATGCCGCACCAAACGTTAAATCCAAATTTAATGTGTGCTCTCTTTTGCTCAAAGTGGTGAGAATTTGTTTGATTCCAAATATGTTCATTGTGTGGATTAGACATTCCACAGTTTATAAATCGAGTTTCATCGGCCCATCATATTTTATAAGGGGCGTCTTGTGGGCATTTGTTTCGGAACCATATACATACGGAACCAACACAAAAAGTTTCGAATTTATGTTGTTATTTGGAATATTGGGGGAACTAAGATTCATTTAAAAATGTGCCATAAATCACGTTTTCTCGTATATTTCCTTACCTGCCAAATTTTAGAATAATCAAATTCGTTCTACAAACTACAATTCTTTGTCAATGTATCCTTTCGTTGTATCTGCTGTGGTTTCCAAGATCCCTGTACTAGATAAGTTCTATATTGTTGAGGCGGATTCATTTTTTACAAACTTCTTTTTGGGTATTTCACCTCAAAAATTTTTGTATTTAAAAAAGACAGAATTTCCTCACGTCTTTTATTACAGATTGATAAATAGTGCTCCTATTTCGCAATAAGAACGAATTATTTATCAAAAAGTAA